AAAGAATATGCACACACAAAAGCGCTTAATAGAGTTAATAAAATAATTTAACAAGATTGCAGTATACAGGATCAACACACAAACAATTGCACATAAAAGCATATACACTTCTAAAAAACTAATGCCATTTACAATATCATCCCCTAAAATATCCAAGAGTAAATTTACCAAAAGCCAGACTTGTACACTGGAAACTATAAAATAGGATTAAAAAAATTAAAGAAGACATAAATAAATGGAGATATCAAGCATTCTTGGACTAAAATGACAATACTAAAAAATAATCTAGAGATTAAATGCAATCACTATGAAAAGAGATAGGATGGCTTGAATTCTCTCTTTCCCATCACACTACGATGTGGAGATATTCAAGTCCTCATACATTTGCTAGGGTAATGTAAAATGGTACATATACGTGGAAAATAGTTTGTCCTCGGAAACTTAAACATAGAATTACCAGGAATCCAAAGAATTGAAAATGGGCACTTAATAGATGTATATGAAGCTTTACAGCAGAACTATTCACAACAGCCAAAAGGTATAAATAACCTAATGTCTACCAGATGATGAATGAATAGATATAATATATATCCATACAGTGATACATGCTATAATACAAATTAATCTCAAAAACATTATGTTAAATGAAAAAAAGAGACAAAAAGTCATGTTATATGATTCCATTTATATGCTATATCCAGAATATGTAAATCCACTGAAACATAAAGCAGATTGGTAAACTGAAGAAAGGGAGTAATAAGAAGTAACTCTTTGTGGGTTTAAACTTTTCTTTGGGGGTGATAAAAATGTTCTGGGACCAAAAGAGGTGGTGGTCAAACAACATTGTGAGTGTATTACATGCCATTGAGCTATACACATTAAAATGGTTCATCTTTTACACATATAATTTCACCTTAATAAAAAGTAACGTGGCCTGGAGTTGTAGGTCATTGGGAGAGGCACTGGGTTTGATTCTCAGCACTGCATATAAACAAAGGTCTACTGACAACTAAAAAAAATTATATATATAAAAAAGTAAAGTAACAAAATCATCATGAAGTCATTTAATACTAACAACCATGCTTTTTCCTTAATAACTTTTTTCTCTTTTTTTGCAGGGGGTGGGGGGTGGACAGGGGGATCAGGAATTGAACTCAGGAGCATTCAACCACTGAGCCACATCTGCAGCCCTATTTTATTATTTTATTTAGATACAGGGTCTTGTTGAGTTGCTTAACACCTCTCAGTTGCTGAGGCTGGCTTTGAACTGTGATCTTCATACCTCAGCCTCCCGAACTGCTGGGATTATAGGCGTGCGCCACCATACCCGGCTAATTATTTCTCTCTTTTGTGTAGTCTGGCAACTTTCCTTCTCATTTTAAATATTGACCTTGAAGCCCAAGAACAAAAAAAGCTACATTAAGATCTTATATACTCAAAATTACCAAAACAGTATCTAAAGACCAAAACATTTTCCAGAGCTTCACAGCCACACATATTCATTCAACTAAATTTTGTTTTTTTATAGGGATTTTCCACAGGCATTTTAAGATTTAACATGTCCAAGATATGGATCCATCATGAACTGTTAAATCTGCTTTTCATATTTCAACTTCCATTTTCATTAACAGAGTACCACCTAACATGGTAATCTGAGAGGCATTTTAAAATCCTCTTCCAACCTCACAACTGTCTGTCTTAACATGGTAATCTGCAAGGCATTTTAAAGTCCTCTTCCAACCCCACAACTGTCTGTCTTATTTACTTAAAGAAGCCTATTGTTCCTTTCTTTTGTATTTCTTCCATACTACCCCTTTTTGTCCTCTTTACACTTAATGCTACACAAATTGCCCTCCCACAGTAAAGAACTAAAATTTTAAAAACACAGTTTTTCTAGCACTTAACAGGCAGCTTAATATTATGATTCATAAAGAAAAATGAGTCAAGCTAACAACGCTGGAGAGTATTTAGGTGGTTGTGAAGGCATGTGGAATAGTTTATAAAAACTGAGGAGAAAGAGACACAAGTTCAGAAAAGCCGAGAAGGCTACGTTTGTAGGGCAGAGTACCAAACAGACAAACATATACACAGATAAAGAGCCTTAGATACGTGCAGAGTCCCTGGTGTCTTTGGATACTGCACAGGTACAAGTGGAAAGTTTCTGGGGCCAGGGCTGAAATTATTCTCAAAATATCTTTTAATATATAGGGCACTGGGTCAAATCCTCTTCTTGCTTTTCTGTAGACCCACATAAGTACCAGAATAGAAGCTGCTTTGAATCCTTCGCATTTTAGCAATTGAATCCAGCAATATATAAGAAGAATAAAAACACTATGACAAAGTGGTGTTTATCTCAGGAATGCACCAGTAATTTAACATTAGAAAATCAATTAATATAATTCACCATATAAACAGAGTAAAAAAATTCCAAAGATCATCTCAAAAGACACGAGAAAATTGTGTGACCCATTTGGGAGAAAAACTCTCAGAGAACTAGGAACATTAGAATACTTTCTTGACCTAATAAAAAGCATAGGAGAAAAGTAATAGGGTTGGGGTATATTTCAGTGGTAGAGCACTTGCTCAGCAGGTACAAGGTCCTGGATTCCATCCCCAGGACCACAGAGGGGGAAAAAAAGGTCAACAGTGAATGCTGTACTTAATCATGAAAGACCAGAGATATATTGTATGATAATATATCAATGAAACTTTTTTTTTGGTATTGGGGACTGAACCCAGGGATGCTTTCCAACGGAGCTACATTACCAGCTCTTTTTTATCTTTTATTTTAAGACAAGATTTCACTAAGTTTCTGAGGCTGGCTTCGAATCTGCAATTGTCCTGCTTTAGCCTCCCGAGTTGCTGGAATTACAGGCATGCACCTAGCAATAAAACTGACTTTTTAAATCTACCATTATATTTTCAAAGTTGTTCAAAAAGTTTAGTCTTTTAAACAAGAGAGCTGATTATAACAAGAAACTTGTCATTTGTTACTATATCTAAGAATCTATAAACAGCAAAATGCAATTTTAAAATAATGGGTGTCTGCAATATATTTCCATTACTGCATGTTGAACCTTAAATATAAGAAGACCGTGCAACAGTCCATACCAAAAGCTATATAGTGAACTCTTAAGCAACTGGAATTTAAAACCACTAATTAAAAAACAAAAAAAAAATCAATCACTATACTAAAATAACAGCAATAGAAGAATTAGCTTTAATTTTTTATTCTATTCTTATGGTACCTAAGTATAAATTACTTGTTAGTGACTTGAACTAATTCAAGTGTATTAAGAATTAGACTACAGGGTTGGGAATATAGCTCAGTGGTACAGCACTTACCTAGCGTGCCTGAGGCCCTGGGTTCAATTCCCAGTGCCAACAAAAAAAAAAGAAAGAAAAAAAAAATTGGGTGGGAACCGCATTTTACCCTGCACTTGAAATTTAGTCATTTTGTTCAAATCACTCAGCTACTTTGAAAGTATTCAAGAAATGAGATTTTTTAAAAATTATAATAATAAATGCTAACCCATCATTTTATTATGTTTCAACAATTAAGGGAAAGTATTTTATAATTGCTCAGTCACATCTGTAAGTAAGGAATTATATTACAAGAAAAAATGAGAACTGTTTAAAGCAGGAAGGTAATATTATAAGAATCTGTATTTCTTCTATGTTAAAGATGAACAGAAACACAGACAAGAAATTTGCTTGAAACACATTTCTCAATTTGTTCAGGGAAAAAGTAAATAGTTAATAGCATATCCCATGTAGGTTCTATAAACTAACCTTTCTTTTTTTTTTTTTTTTGGAGGGGGGTGGCAGTACCAGGGATTGAACTCAAGGACATTCAACCACTGAGCCACATCCCCAGCCCTATTTTGTATTTTTATTTAGAGACAGGGTCTTGTTGAGTTGCTGAGTACCTCACTTTTGCTGAAGCTGGCTTTGAACTCAATCCTCCTGCCTTAGCCTCCCAAGCTGCTGGGATTACAGGCATGTGCCACCTCTCCCAGCTATACTAACACTTCTTAATTGAAGGAAGACTATAATACTAGCAGGTGACAGTTTAACCACCCACATGTCACACCCTTATTAAAACTTAGAAGTCACCATTCCTCAATAGAGACAATACAATATGTATAGAACTTAGGTGACAATCAGACTAAAAGGATAAGATGCACATATGAACAAAAGTAAGCATGCTTATTTATATACAACATTGTTACGCTTTTAAAAAAAAATGCTCCTATATCAAAAGAGATCATTAAGTAAAGCTGAACTACCTTAGCTCATGTTTTCAAACCATTAAAACCTGTAGTCCATTCAACCAGTAAGGTTCCATGGTTAACTTGTGTTCATTTTAAATATACTCTAACATAACAACCTTCTGCTATCCTACCTCTTGACTTGTGCAGCTCAATTTTTTTTTTTTAGTTTACATTATTATTTTTTAAAAAGTAAGAATAATTATACATTTCTTGAAAATACCACTCAAACCATATAAATCACATCAAACTAGAACTGCTGAATAAACTGGAACATTATAATAAGCTGCCTTTCATACATCTATAACTATGTCTGTTTTAAAAGAAAATAATCCACATGTAAGATAGGTAACAAATAGTATTAGATTTTAAAATATTGGAAACTTCCAAATTACTGATTCAAGAAATAATGATCTGTTGATAGCAATAATAACCAAGTTATTCTAAACTTCAAAGTAATATAAAGTTTAACGCTTTAGCATCAATTTAGCCATTTATTAGGTTCAAGAGAAGTCCAACAAAAGCATTACTGGTCAACAAAATTCCTTCCAAATATCAAGTGGTTATCTTAAGAATTAATACTCAAGACAAATAAGACTCAACCCTAATAATGAGAACTATAATCCTCTTTAAAAATTTAGCTTAAACAAGTCACAAACATTTGATAAACTGTTGGGGTAGCACAAGTGAAAATTTAAATCAAATCTTGTTTTGATATTTCTATCCTACCTGTATCTTCAATAAATTCCACACATTTTTCAACAAACAGTGGTATGGGCTTCTCAGCTGTAACCAGATCCTGGAGGGGCATCCCAAAGTAATTACTTTCCCAATTTCTACGCGTTGGTGGATTGAAGTTCTTAGTTTTCTTTTTCTGCTATAAGAAAACATATTTGAGTTAAAACTATTAAAAATTAATCTCCCTCAAAATATTAGTATCAAGCAATATAAACACACAGTTTGGATAAAAAAAATATTTACAAGCCATATCCAATTGAAATGTCCATGAAAACCGGACACATTACATTCTACTAAGAGCAGCAACCTGATCAATGGAGGCAAAAAAAGTGAATAGGGAAAAAAATTAGCTGACTAGAAGAAAATGTTCTCTTTGGAAAATAACATAAGACTAGATAGGGAGAGATGAGAAAGATTAGATAGTAAAAGACAGGGAAGATCATTTTTCAATGCCAATGTAGGGGACAAACTAGAAATACACAGAGTAGGGTTTTGTATAAATCTGTATTTCTGAGAATAATTTACTGATTACTGATTATATAATGAGGTTATATATTTGCACCAAGATTTTAGTCTATTTTCCCCACATTTGTGCAATCCACTGTGACTTAAATATTAAGACAGTTTTCAGAAGAAATTTGTAAAATATTTTCAATACAGTAAAAACCAAAACAATTTTTTTTTTTCCAGAATTTAACTTTTATCTAACCATTAGAAAAACATGGATTATTAACCAGGAATGTTCATCTCAAAACCCAAGGATGAACTGTCTGGAATCAATGTTGGGGAGATTCTGATTCATTCTTTTTTGAGTAGGGTATAGCAAGCATCTTCAAAGATGATTCTGTTATGCATATCCAATTGAGAATCTCTAAAGTATAGGAAGAAAAAGTTTTCACAAATTCAAAGAGCTTATTAAGAGCACTTTTACTAACAGCCCTGATTTCTTTTTCAGTATAACTATCTAAAATTTTTTATTTTCTCTAGTATAAATCACAAATCTATTCATATTGCTCATATCACTACTGGCTTACAAACAGAACAACAACAACAACAAAAATTTCCTTCTATTTTAACCTAAAGAATGGTCTACCTTAGGACTTTTGCATGGCTGTTTCTTTTATCTTTTGAATGAGGCCTACACTGATCACCTGATTAAAAATCACAAACTGCAATCCTACTGCTTGTCTTCCCCAGTACTTCCAATCTTTCTTATCCTAATTCTTCTCTCCTCAACATTATAAAATTTATTCATGCATCATCTTTGTTTCAGGGGTGTGAAGAAGGAAACAAAGATGATGCATGAAATTTCTGCTACAATAGAAACTCTACATATGGGCAGAGATTTTGATTTGCTCATCAATATATCCCAAAGATCAAGAATACAGTCTATAAAAGGAAATAGTACAAATGGTCCTAAAAAACCCATGAGGTCTCAAATTGAAGAAGACCTTAGAAGATGGAAAGATCTCCCATTTTCTTGGATAGGCAAAATTAAATACTGTCAAAATGAACATACTACCAAAAGTGCTAAACAGATTTAATGCAATTCCTATTAAAATCCCAATGACATTCTTCATAGAAATAGAAAAAGCAGTCATGAAATTCATTTGGAAAAATAAGAGACATAGAATAGCCAAAGCAATCCTTAGCAAGAAAAGTGAAGCAGGAGGCATCACAATACCAAACCTTAAATTATATTACAGAACTCTAGTAACAAAAACAGCATACTATTGGCACCAAAACAGACATGAAGACCAGATACAGAATAGAAGACATGGAGATAAACCCACATAAATACAACTATCTCATACTAGACAAAAGTACCATAAAGATACATTGGAGAAAATACAGCCTCTTCAAAAATGGTGCTGAGAAAACTAGAAATCCATATGTAGCAGAATGAAATTGAACCCATCTCTCATCCTGTACAAAACTCAACTCAAAGTGAATCAAGGACCTACACATTAGACCAGAGACCCTGCACCTACTAGAAGAAAAAGCAGGCCCAAATTCTCCATTATGTCAGCTTAAGAACTTAATTCCTCAACAAGATTCCTAAAGCTCAAGAAATAAAAATCAAGAGTCAATAAATGGGATTGTATCAAACTAAAAACTTCTTCACAGTAAAAGAAACAACCAAGAACACGAAGAGAAAATCTTTGCCACCTGTACCTCAGAGCATTAATCTCTAGGCTGTATAAAGAACTCAAAAAGGTACACTCATACATTGCTGGTGGGATTGCAAACTGGTGCAACTAATCTGGAAAGCAGTGTGGAGATTCCTCAGAAAACTTTGAATGGAACCATAAGATATTCAAATCAGCATACTACAGTGATGCAGTCATATCAATGTTTATAACAGCTCAATTCACAACAGCTAAGCTGTGCAACTAACCTAGGTTATCCTTCAACAGAAGAATGGTATCTATTCACAATGAAATATTACTCAGCCTTAAAGAATGAAATTATGGCATTTGCTGGTATATGGAGAGAACTGGGAGGTATCATGCTAGGTGAAAAAAAAACCAATCCCTCCAAAACAAAGGTTAAATGTTTTCTCTGATATGCAAAAGTTAACACACAATGGGGGCGGGGTGTGGAATAGAAGTTCACTGGCTCAGACAAAGGGGAATGAAGGGAAGAAAGGAGGGATGGGAATAGGAAAGAAAGTAGAATGAAATGAACATAACTTTCTGATGTTCAAATATGATTACATCACCAGTGTTTAACTCCACATCATGTACAACCACAAGAATGGGAAGTTATACTCAATGTATGTATAATATGTCAATACATTGCACTGTCATGTATATCTAAAAAGAACAAAAATGAATAAATCCTCCCCCCATATTTGAGGTCTCTTCTAAAATAATGAGCTTGGTTTATAGTTTGAGTAATCTTACCATATACTAGGAAAGATAAACAGAAGTGAATCATCAAATTAAGAGATATATTGTGCTATATTCAGTAAGTCTCAAAGAATAGTAAAGGTTCCAGACAAGATGAAAAATAACAACAGTGGGGAAAAGTAACAGGATAGATAGCCTCAGAGTTCTCAGGAAAAGTACAAGTCACAGGATTCACCTATAGGAATGCTCATGGGAAAAAACAATGTGTCAAGAATTCTTTACCTAGCCAATATATATGTCATTCAGGTGTGCATAACCACCAGCTGTAAATTTTTTTTAAAAATTTTCAAATATGCAATAATCAAATTTAAATTATAGCATGCACAAACTCCTTCTTGAAAGATCATAAAGAACAATGAAGAAATCAATAAAAAAGAACTTATATTGGAGAATGTCGCTATGAAAACAATATGAACACTATACAATGAAACAAAACTAATTCTAAGTAATAATATATATAATCAATAATTTTCCAGGCAGCATTACAAAATATAAAAATTATTTGTAAGAGGTCAAAACCAAATTCTCAACCTACCCCAAAAGAGGAATGGGTGGGATATAAGAGATAATGTAATTATAGTAGTGCATGACAGGTTATCAGAATACACTGGTAGGTTGAGCAAGAATAATAAACTGAAATAGGTTTGTAATATTTAAAGAAAAAATAAGCAAACCATAAATTAATAGCACCTTCATTTTTCTTATCTTTTCTCTGATGGCAAAGAAAAAAATTGAAAATAAAGAAAAAGCAAACTGATATTTATAAAAACAAGTGTAAATAGAATAAGATCAGCTATATAAATAAAATTCTAAGACTTGGTATAAAACTAAACCAACTAACCATATGCCATTTAAACCAAGGGACTTAAATAAGTTAAAAATGACAGGCAATTGAACAAAGTATGTACAGAAGGACTGTACATAATGTACTCAATATGATATGGTCTACAAATTATCAACCCACAGCCAATCATACCTAATGAGAAAAAGCTGAAAATCTTTCCTCTAAGATCAGGTACAAGAAAAGGTGTTCATTCTCACCATTCTTATTCAACACAGTACCCAAAGTTTTAGCCAGAACAATTAGAAAAGAGAAAGAAATAAGACATACAGATAGGAAAAAATCAAATTATTCCTGTTTGTAGATGATACAATTCTCTCTATATAGAAAAACCTAAAGACTCCACCAAAATACTATTAGAACTAATAAATTCAGTAAGGTAGCAGGATACACAACCAATGTACACAAATCAGCTTCTTTTCTATACACCATAACAAATTTGCTAAGAAAGAAATCATGAACATCATCCCATGCACAATAGCTACAAAACAATAACAACAAAACCACCTAGGGATAAACTTAACCAAATTAGTAAAAGACCTCTACAGTGAAAAATATCAAATACTAATGAAAAAGAAACTGAAGAAGGCACAAAAAGCTGGTAAGACATCCCGTATTCATGGATCAGGATAAATATTACTCAAATGTCCATACTATCCAAAGGGATTTACAGAGTCAATGCAATCCCCATCAAAATACCAGTGACATTCTTCAGAAACAAAAGAAACAATACTAAAATTCACACAAAACCACTTCACCTGAATAGCTGAAGCAACTTGGGCAAAAGAAAGAAGCTAGAGGGACCACAAAACCTGATTTCAAAATAGCGTGGTACTGGCATAAAAACAGACAAATGAAACTGAAGTGATATCAGAAATAAACCCAAATGACTAACTACAGACAACCGATTCTTGACAAAGGTGCCAAAAACATTCATTGGAGAAACATACATTGGACAGCCTCTTAAATATGGTGGGAAAACTAACACAATTAATAAAACTAGGTTATTCATAAAACTATAAACAGATATATCACACGATTCCACATGCACAAGAAACTGAAATTTGACCCCTATATCTCACCCTGTACAAAAATCAACTCAAGACAGATCAAAGACCTAAATATAAGCCTGGACATTCTGGAAAGTAAATGAAGAAGCACTTTAAGATATTGATGTGGCAACGATTTTCTGCACAGGACCCTAAAGTACACGGGAAAAAAAAAAAAAAAAAGTAAAAATTGGCAACAGGAATTACATCAAACTAAAAGGTTTCTGCATAGCATAGCAAAGGGAGAAAAATCAACAGAGTGAAGGAACAACTTACAGAATGGAAGAAAATATTTGTCAACTAACTATGTATCTCACAGAGGGTTAAAATTCAGAAT